CCCAGCGACCCACCCGCGACCCACCGGCGAACCACCCGCGAACCACCCGCGACCCGCCCCGCGACCCACCCGCGACCCACCGCGACCCAACCACGACCCACCCGCGACCCACCCCGCGACCCAGCCAAAATATGTGGCGCCTGCGGCGGGCCTTTTTTGAATTCGTTCCAGGTGGAGAACCTGCGACCCACCTCGCGACCCAAACCGCGCCCGCGAACCACCCGCGACCCACCCCGCGACCCACCCGCGACCTACCCGCGACCCACCCAAAATTTTCGGCGCCTGCGGCGGGCTTCTTCTGCATTCGTTCCAAGTGGAGAACCTGCGACCCACCCGCGACCCAAACCGCGTTCAGTGTACAAATCAAAGTGTTCGGCGTCTGCGGCGGGCTGTTTTTGAATCCTTTCCAGGTGGAGGTGGAGAGCCCGCGACCCACCCGCGACCCAAACTACGTTCACTGTACAATCCAAAACTTCGGCGCATGCGGCGGGTTTCTTTTGCATTCGTTCCACGTGGAGAACTTGCGACACAAACCGCGTTCAGTGCACAAATCAAAATGTTCGGCGCCTGCGGCGGGCTGTTTTTGAATTCCTTCCAGATGGAGGTGGGGAGCCCGCGACCCACCCACGACCCAAACTATGTTCACGGAACAAACCAAAAATTCGGCGCCCACGGCGGGCTGTTTTGGCATTCGTTCCGGGTGGCCCACCAGCGATCCCCCCGGCGCTGAACTTGTCAGAGCACGCAAATCGGCGCTTGCTCGCATTGGTTTGGGAAAGCGCCCTCCGTCCCCCACTCCTTTTCCTCGTCGCCAGCGAAGGCGAGGAGGAAATAGAGGGGGGACGGAGGGGGGCGACGAGAAAGGAGAGAGGAGGAGGGGGAGCACGAGGAGGACGACGACGGAAAAGAGGAGGGGGGACGATCGGGATGGGGGAAGAAGAGGAAAAGGAGGAGGAGGAGGAGAAGGAAAAGGAGGAAGGAGGAAGAGGAAGAGGAGAATGAGGAGGATGAGGAGGGCACCATCGACACGGAAGGTGAGGGCCACGAGGTCCGCCGGCTCGACGCCCGCGTCGCCCGCGCCCACCCCCTCACTCTTATCCGCATTTGCGGGGTGCTACGTATTGCATATTTTGTGGGCGTTTAATTTGGAAGAAGATCTCGAGCGCACTTCCTCTTGATTTCTGTTTGTCTTCTCGCGCAGGCGCGGGCGCGCGTCGGCGCAGGCAAACCCGAGTGGAACAAAACAAAAACCGCCGCCACCTCGGAGTGCGCGGGGAAAGGGGGAGCGGGGGGAACGAGGGGGAGGGGAAGGGGGACGACCGCTGCGCGACGCGCGATGGGCTATTGATTCTTCTCCGGTCGTCGGCGTTTCGCGTCGTCTTGCGCTGGATGCCATCGCATTCCTGTAGTCAGCGCGGAGGTCCGAAGTGCGAAACGCGCGCCCCCCAGACATTCCCGCCCGCGCGTGCCATGCCCAGCGGCACGAGCAGCACGACGTCTGCTGACGCCCTCCTGGGTGGCTTGCAGAATATATCCGGCGCCATCATGGGCAAGATCGTCCACAACGAGGGCGCTTTGGAGCTGGGGGGGGACGGCGACGGAATGAAACCGCAGCAGGTCATCCTGGCAGCACTCCACGACGAGCTCCTCAAGCTCGACCCAGAGAAGAAGGGGCTCTTCAAGAAGGCCCCCGGCGAGGAAACGTGCCGGCGTTGGGGCGCGGACGAACATGACTTCCAGGAACTTTACAAACTTGCATATCCACCTCCCTTCTCCCCTTCCTTCCCCCCCTTCCTCCGGTTCCCCCGCGGCGCCAACAGAAAACGCATCGGCGAGGGCATCAAACGGGCCAGCGTTTAAAACGCGCCCCCTGACAATAAGGATTTTCTGTTTCACTGGTTTTCTCTCCTTCCCGGTGGTCGGATTTTGCCCTGCCGCGGGCTGCGCTTGCCCGATGTGGCGAATGAAACGGTTACAACGGTTCGCGAAAAGCACTTGCGAGGGCCGCAGACGGGCAGGAGTCGCAAAAGAAGGGCCCCTTGACGATGAGGATTCTTCGTTCCAAGAGTTCGGGGCGCCTCCCCCTGGCCAGGTTCTGGCCAGGTTCCGCCCGCGGGTGAAATTGGCGCCGCGGTGCACAAAACGAACCAGCCAGGGCAGCAAACTGGCACGAGTTACCAAAACACATCTTGACAAGGATGATTTCTCGTTTCAAGGGTTCGGGGCCCCTCCTCCCGTCAAGATTTCGGCCCACCGCGCGCAGCGCTTGCCCGCGGTGGTGAAATGGGCACGACGGCCCGCAGAACGAACCAGCCAGGGCAGCAAACGGGCAAAAACACAAAATTAGCCTGGCGAGGGATCCAACCATATGCAGTTGTAAATACCGCAATTGTGAATACCATCTTCGCCCGCGCCCCCTATGTGGCCACGGCTTCCCGCCGGAGCCCGACATGCTCAGGAACACGTTCGCGGCCGTCTTCGCGGGCGCCGACGACGACAAGGACGGCGCCCCTTTGACCGAGGAGCAGAAGCAGGAGAGGGCTTTGAGAGCCATGAGGGAGGAGGCGTCGGTGCACGTCGAGAAGGCGGAGTATGACGCCCAGGCGCGGTTGTTGAAGCAGCACAACTACGGGGCCACGATCCTTGTGAAGGGTGTGCCGAAATGGCCCGGGGCCGCCATGGGAACCCTGCCACTGGCGCCTTCGGTGGAACTCCCTATGGAACCGGAACCGGAACCAGAACCGGAACCGGAACCGGAACCAGAGCAGCGCGCGCTGCCTGAGGGGGAAGGGGTGGTCCGGAACCGGAACCGGAACCGGACGCATGGAGAGGGATAGGGATAAGGGATGATCCCTATCCGGAACCGGAACCGGAACCGGAACCGGAACCGGAACCAGAACCGGAACCAGAGCAGCGCGCGCTGCCTGAGGGGGGAGGGGTGGTCTGGAACCGGAGCCGGAACTGGAACCGGGACCACAGCAGCGCGCGCTGCCTGAGCGGGGGGGTGATCCGGAACCGGAAGCGGAACAGGAAACGGCACCGGGCGCATGGGGAGGGATAGGGATGAGGGATGATCCCTGACAGGTTGATCCCTAACGAGAACCGGAACCGGAACCGGAACTGGAACCGGAACCGGAATCAGAGCAGCGCGCGCTGCCTGATGGGGTGGGGTCATCCGGCTGACCTCGGTCGGTGAGACTTCAATTTTTCGCTGCTGGACGGCGCCCCGCCAGGAAAGCCAGAGCAGGAGCACGATGCACGGAACACGAGGGCATGTATGCCGTCACCCCACCCTTTCGGCACACCCCTCACAAGGATCACGACCCCATAAGGACCCCCACCAAAGGCTTAAGTAGGAGGGCCCGTATGCAATAACCCCACAGTTTCGGCATTGCCCTCACGCGGATCATGGCCCCATAGGGAGCTCCACCGAAGACTTAAGTAGGAGGGCCCGCATGCGGTCACTCCACCATTTCGGCACACCCCTCACGAGGAGTTTTGCCAGCTGCGCAAGCTGCGCCAGTTGCGCCAGTTGGTTGTCCCAGTTTAGCGCCAGTTGCACCAGATGTGCCGCTTGCGCCAGTGGGTGTGCCGAAATCCACGGGGGGGCGCTCTGCGGACCCTGCCACTGCTGAGACCTGTTGTGCCAGTTGTGCTAGTCGAGCCCCTATTGAGCCACGAAAAGAGTGAGCGCTGTGCCGAAAACCTCGGAGTGGCGCTCTGCGCACCCTGCCGATGCTGGGACCTGTTGCGCCGGCTGTTTGAGGCTCGACCCTACCACTGCTTCGGCCTGTGATGCCAGTTGTCGTCGGCCGACGACTCCGACGACGACGACGACGACGACGACAACGACGACGACGACGACGACGACGACGACAGCCACGACCCCGACTCCGACAGCCACGACCCCGACTCCGACAGCCACGACTAGTAGTAACAGTAGTAGTGGTAGTAGTAGTAGTAGTAGTAGTAGTAGTAGTAGTAGTAGTAGTAGTAGTAGTAGTAGTAGTAGTAGTAGTAGTAGTAATCAGACGATGAGTACCAGGAGTAGTACTCGCAGTAGTAATACCACTAGTAGCCGTAGTAGTAATACTAGTAGTAGTAGTAGTAGCTAGTAGCGTAGTAGTACTAGCAGTAGTAGTAGTAGTAGTAGTAGTAGTAGTAGTAGTAGTAGTAGTAGTAGTAGTAGTAGTAGTAGTAGTAGTAGTAGTAGTAGTAGTAGTAGTAGTAGTAGTAGTAGTAGTAGTAGTAGTAGTAGTAGTAGTAGTAGTAGTAGTAGTAGTAGTCGTAGTAGTAGTAGTAGTAATAGTAGTGGTTGTGGTAGTAGAAGTAGTCTTCGGGAGACCGTCACCCTTCGAAATCTTCAGGGCACCACGGAACACTGGCTCCTGGGAACCCTGGCCCCAGGGGGCGGGGGCTCGGGCGAAGAACGTCGCCTGCGCGTCGACCCCCGAGGTTCGAACGAGGAGGCGGCGATGCAGGTGAAGTGGCCCGACGGCTGCACCAAGGACGTCCCGCAGGTGAGCGACGACGACGACACGAGGGAGAGAAAGGTGGAGAACAACGGGCGAACGAGAGAGCAAACGATACAAAGAGAGAGAGAGGGAAAAAAACGAGACAGAGAGAGAGGAGAGAGAGAGAGAGAGCGAGAGAGAGAGAGAGGGAGAGAGAGAGAGAGACAGAGGTAGAGAGAGATAGCGAGAGAGATAGAGAGAGAGAGAGAAACCAAAATCAAGAGAAGCGGAGGAAATACTGACCGCTGGAAGGAGGGGTGGAAGAGGGCGGAGGAGGATGAGGAGAAGAAGGAGGACGAGAGAGGGGGGGGAGTGAGGAGCGGGAAGAGGAGGAGATGGAGCAGGAGAAGGATGTGGATGATGAGGAGGAAGAGAAGGAGGAGGATGAGGAGGAGGAGGAGAGGAAAAGAGAGGAGAGGACTGGAGAGGATGATAGGAGAGGAGAGGAGGAGAGGAGGAGAGGAGAGGTGGAGGAGCAGGAGACGAACGCCCCCCAATTGCGCGCGAGCCAGGTGAGCGTCGGCGCCTGGAGGGCGAGCGCAGCAGGTGGCTTGAAGCAGAAGCCGCCCAAGTACACGGCAAACATCAAACTGTTCTCTTCTGATAAGGTCTGGGTAGACACCAGGTGGAACCAGCCGCCGAAGAAAGCTAAACGGGAGCGCTTGATTTGCATCAAGGACTGGGAGGGCCAGATCCTGCAGGTCAACATTGACTGGTGGCCAGATGCAGACGATCCAGAATATGCGGCCATCGAGTGGTGCAACGCAGTGGCGCAGGACTATGACAATGGCAAGATCGATCGAGAGGGCTGCCGCGACAGGAAGAAGCAGATCATGATACCTGAGGGCTGGGGAGAGCCTGGCTATTTGACTTCTAAGAGGCCAGCTGCAGCAGGGGGCGAGGTGGCAGCAACATCTCCAGCGGTACCAGCATCGGCCACTGGTGCAACTCCAGCGGCACCAACATCGGCGACTGGTGCAACTCCAGCGGCACCTACACCAGCGACTGGTGCGCCTCCAGCGGCACCTACACCAGCGACTGGTGCGCCTCCAGCGGCACCTACACCGGCGACTGGTGCAGCTCCAGCAGGCTCTTCATCGGGGCCAGCCGCCGAGGGTGCGAGCACGCCATCCCCGAAGAGGAGGCGTCATGGCAAGGCGCCCCAGTCCGAGTACAGGCCCATTTCGCCGCCTCCCTCGCTGTGGTGATCGTTCGAGTGCCCCTGCCACTCCAAAACACTCGAGTAAAGATACACTATCGGGGGTGAACTTGAGAGAAGAGGAGGAGGAGAAGGAGGAGGGGGATAAGGAGGAGGAGGAGGAGGAGGAGGAGAAGGAGGAACGAGAACAAAAGGATCACGAAGAGGAGGAGGATGAGGAGGAGGAGGTATAACCTCCACGGGCCCCGATCGATGTTCAGTTCGCATGCGGCCCATATCCCAGAATGCTTCCTGAGGGCCTTTCTGCAATGCAGCGGCACTTCCCCCCCCCGACCCAAATATATATGTGTATATATATATATACATATATATATATAGGGACCTTGCTCGTCTGCCAGCTTAGCGTAAGTTCAAGATACCTGGCATCTCAACCGTGCGAGGCAGACATGTCCCCATAAAAGAAATCACACTTGTATGGCGAAAGCCCCGTGCAGTTTTCACGCCCTGGCCCCGTCAGAAAGCCATTTTGGCACAAGTCCCACGATGTCTCTGAGGGAGTGCTTCGAACTCCTGGAGGCCCGCCAGGAGGAACGTCTCCGCAGATCTTTACCTCAGTGTCTGGCGGACGCTTCGATGTCCCAGGGGGCGGCGGCGGACTCGCGCGGCAGCGCTTCGCACGCCCCCGCGGCCGCGGCGTTTCCCGGAGCGCTGGCTGGAGGCACAGGCGCGCAGTTCCAACCTTTCTCCAACTCTCCACACTCCTGCTCGACATTCACCCCTCTTGCCACCCCTTCCCTGCCCGCGCTCCCTCCTGCCTCCTCTCCTCACCCATGGAAGTTCTCCGTGTCCGAAATCCGACGCCCGAGCCCAGGCATCCATCGCGGGCCGATCGAGGTCGGCGACAGCGAGACGCAGAAGGAGACCCAGAAGGAGCCGCAGGACCCCTTGCATCGCGCGGACATGTGGGCCCCTCCGAACGACGGAACGCGCCCGCCGGGGCAGCCCGCCCCAGTCGTGCGCCCTGCTGCTCTGGCAGGCGCGCCAACTCAACCGATCGAGGAGGTGCCGATCCAGCCAGATGCCCAGACCGTGCCCGCAAGCCAACCCGAGCCCATGCCCGCTGCCCCCGCGCCGGCCGTGCACCCCCCGACCGAGTGGATCGGCAAGCGCGCCCACGAGCTGCAGCCTCCCCAAGACAGCCTTGGTCGATTCGTGGACCCACCACCGCAGGCAGAGCAGCCACCGCAGGAGCCCCCGACGAAGCGTCGCGACAGGAAGCTGAGGCAGCCCTCGCCCGAACCCGAGAAGCTGAAGCACGCGGAGCAGCCCTTGCCCGAGCGCGAGACGCTGGTGGTTTCCGATCGATGCCTTGCTAAGGAGGCTAGGGTGTCTGAACCCCCACCCCCCTACCCCCCCACATCTCCTCCGACTCTTTTGGAATGAAATTCGGTTGAGCGCGTTCCTGGATGTTTTCGAAACCTACAGCCGCCGCACTTTTTCAGAGAGGCATGGGGGTCTTGGAGCCCCGGGGGTCTGGGGATTGGCGGCGGCGCCGAAACGTGGGGAACGTGCTTGGGGAACGAGTGCGAGGCGGGAAGTGAACGAATGCAATGGGGGTACGAGGAGGAGAAGGAATGAGGAGGAGGAGGATGAGGAGGAGGAGGAGGAGGAGGGGGACAGCTGAGGAAGAGGATGAGGAGGAAGAGGAGGACTGAGAAGGAGGATGAAGCACAATCAGTTCAAGACGGGCTTGATCCCACTCCAGGATGGCGCGGCCCCTGCGGGGCTTGACCCCGCACTAGGATGGCGCGGCCCCTGCGGGGCTTGACCCCGTTCCAGGATGGCGCGGCCCCTGCGGGGCTTGACCCTACTCTAGGATGCCTCGACAAAACGATGTGGTGTCTCCCCGCTCCAGGATGGCGCGGCCCCTGCTGGCCCTGGCGCGGCGGAGATGGCCGATGCGGCGAGCTCGCAGCAGCAGGCCCTGATGAAGGTGCTCGGAGACGAGGTGAAGTTGAGCATGGGCAGCAAGATGCCAGCGCCCCCGAAGGATGTCACGTCCGTTGCCTCGCTCGGCGAGCAGTTGCTCGAGATGTTTCAGCAGATGCACGATGAGGGCGGCTGGGGTGACAACGATCAAGCAGCCGAGCCTGAAGCTGAATCCGAAGGCGGTAAAGCTCGCGACGAGATTCTCGAGGAGTGCAAGGCTAACAACTTCTACGTGAAATCGAAGACGCCAATGTACCGACGGTTCTGGCGTTGGTTGGTAGACACGCCAGGTGAGTGGGAGAAGTACAACAAGCTGAAGTGAAGGGGGCCGCGGCAGAGAAGAAGCGCAGATACTGGGCGCAAGAGAGGTACGACGAGTACGCGTCCTTCCGCACGCAGACGCAGCACACCTCCGACGAGACGAGGCGCGTGGGGACGATGCTCAACATTGACCAGCTGATTGCCGCCGAAGGCGGGCGTGAGAGCCCCGCAGCGGTTCAAGGCGCGATGAATATCGCGAAGAAGATGATCAGGAGAGGTCCGCCAGATGTGGGCATTCATGCAGACAGTGGTCGCGTCGTCTTCCGTCACAACCAGATGCCGAGGCTGGAGAGGGATGGGATGACGTGGGAGAACACCCGCAAGGAGATGAAGGACCCGAAGCGCATCCGTAATGACATCGGCCATGGTCGCGTGCTTGGTGAGGCCATCGAGGTCGCCGACGACACGCCGCCCAAAGTACAGAAGATCGAGCAGAAGAGTCAGATCCGCAAGGACTTGCTCACTGAATGCGACGCAGAGGCGAAGATGACCGAGCCCGTGATCGAGGAGGCAGCTCTGGAAACTATGTGCGCAGCTCCTGCAACTCCTGGCAAAGGCGGCAAGAACAAAGACAAGGGTAAGGGCAAATGCAGTGACAAGGGCAAGGGCAAAGGCAAGTCTGCCAAGGCCAAAGCCAAGGCCAAAGGCAGGAGCAGCAGCGGTGGCAGCAGGACGTCGCCGAACAAGAATGACGAGGAGAAGCGCACGAAGGAGGTCATCGGCAAGTGCGGCAAGGCTCGGATGCAGTCGGAGGGCATCCTTCGGAAGATCGACCAGGACTTGCAGGGGTGGGGCAAGCTCAGCGGCTTCGCGGGCAAGCTCCGCGCCAGCGTCCAGGTCATGACGCAGGCATTTGGAAGCGAAGCAAAACAAGTGCTGGCTGATGGAGGAGATGAGGGAGGAGAGGATCGGAGTAGAGGAGAGGAGGAGACGAACATATGGAAGGAGAGGAGGAGAAGAGATGAGGAAAGGAGAGGGGAAGGGAAGGGTGTAGGAGGATAAGGAAGGAAAAGAGGAGAGCAGGCGAGGATATGAGGGGAGAAGAGGAGGGTGACGGCGCGGAGGTGAGCGATGGGCCCCGACAAGGAAGATGGGGGAGGGCGTGTAGACGCCCTCCTCCTCCTCCTCATCATCATCAGCATCATCTTCTCTTTCTCTCTCACTTTCTCCCCTCCTCTTCATCTCTTCATCTCTTCATCCTCGTCCTCCTCCTCCTCCTCCTCCTCCTCCTCCTTCTCCCTCCTCCCACACCTCCTCCTCGTCCTCCTCCCTCCTCCTCCTCCTCCTCCTCCTCCTCCTCCTCCTCTTCCCTCCCTCAGTCCCATGGGGCCGCCCAGGCGGTCGAGAATTGCGAGTGGTTCAGCTACCTGCTCGAGACGGGCTTCGACGAAGCGAAGAAGGAGAGCTCGGGGGATAAGAACTGGGCCGACGGCCTGTCAGACTTGGACGTATGATTCGTCCTCCTAACCTCACGCCTCCCGCTCTAGGGTACAGCATCTCGAGCATGCAACTCGCCGTTGCGAAGCCTAACGACGAGACTGGGGCGGCTCGCACAGCGCGAGCCATCTAACCGGCGCTGCGGCACTTATTTTTCTCGGCTCGATTGCCCCCCCGCCTAGTGTCCTCCTCTCTCCACCTTATGTGCTCGATGGTTTCACAATCGCACGCCTTCCCCAGGAGGTCTCTGGGAGATTGGGGCGCCCCCCCCCCCCCCCCCCAGGCATGACCTCTGCATGGGCCCGCCTCTCCAGGCACCCATTCGCCATGTCTTCGGGCGCAGGCTTTGAAGGATTTCGGCATACGCGCGCGACGACGCGCGCGTCTGCACTTCGTCCCATTTTTTGCAGAGGATTCCCGCGACGGCACACGCGCAAGGGCGTTCGGCAGATTTCGACATGCGCGCGCGAAGCCCGTTTGGTAGCATCTTGTGAAAATCTTGAGAAAAAAACCATGGTTTTCTTAAGAATTCGCAAGAGCTCGCGCGGAAGCTTCCTTAGCAAATCAGTGTTGCGAAACCCTGTGTTTTTGTATGTTGTTTGGAGACTCGATTGCGAATTCCTTCCGGCACCGAAGGTTTTTGAAGGATTTCGGCATGCGCGCGCGACGACGCGCGCGTGTGCACTTCGTCCCATTTGTTGTAAGGGATTCGTGAACAAATGCTACGTTAGAACAAAAAATGTCACCGCATAGTGTTGTTTACAAGGGACCCTCAGGGGGGAATACCGGCCCCCCGGGGATAGTGTAAATTCATATTTAGGATGGACATGTGGTCATAATCATATATGATTTACATACCCGAAAGGGGGGGCGAAAAGATCCTGTTCTGTTTTTAGAAAAGAGAATATATGTGGTGCTATCTAGTCTCCAATATCTGTTGTGCACTATATGTGGAGCACCATATGGAGTGCAAGCGATGATGATCATCAACGTATGTGGTACATGTGGTGCGATCTATGTGGTGCAATATCTGTGGTGCAATACATGTGGTGCAATTCTTGCTGTGCAAGACATGTGGAGCAATGTATGTAGTGCAACATAGGTGGCGCATAGATGTGGTGCAATCTAAGCTGTACAAGATATGTTGTGCAAGCTGCGATGTTCAACACATGTGGTGCAGTCTACGTGGTGCAGTCGATGTGGTGCAATACCTGCGGTGCAAACGATGTGGTGATGTCTATGTGGTGCGATCTACGTGGCGCAGGTCTATACGAGGCGGCGACGGACGGCGACGAGGCGGCGACGGCGACAACACAGCCGCCAGACCGACCGACGGGCCCAGGCGACGGGCGGCGACGAAGCGGCAACGGAGCGGCGACGGCGGCCCTATACCCGCCAGACCGACAGACAGGCCCGCACGGTGGGCGCCAGCGGGGCGGCGACGGCGGCGACATGGCCGCCAGACCGACAGACGGGCCCACACGACGAGCGGCGACGAGGCGGCGACGGGGCGGGCGATGGCGGCAACATAGCCGCCAGACCGACAGGCTTTTTTGATCCGCGGGTCGAGAGCGCACCTCTTCCTGTCGAAGCTAAGCGGGCCGCGCGAAGCTAGAATTAGGCAGAGAAGAGGAGGGGCCAGACCGACAGACAGGCCCAGTTCCTCAGGAACTCCGAAGAGCCCCGAAGCACATGTACTACAGGCGCTGTGGGGAAGTTGCATAACTCGAGCAACGCGGCGGTTCCTTCCTAGGCCCTCTTAACTCACGCGCGTGCCTTTCGCATGACGAGCCGAGGACAGACCGCTGGCTATTTTTGACGTGCGCCGTCGAGGTACACTGCCTCGCCGTGCCTAGTTGAAGGAGGCCCCCCTTGCGGCCACCACTCCTATCGCGAACGGCCCCATCAAATCCGCTCCTTTTGCGTCACCCCTCCCTCGCACCACCAGAAGCCTCCTCAGGGCGGGCTGGACATTTCGCCTGAGACTTCTCCACCGTGTATTGTCAGGGCGCAGCAGTTATGTCGATTCGCGGTGCTGAAATCCCAACAATGGTGTTCTGGCGCGAGTCAGGATCGACATGACGTAACAGTCAGGTTAACTCGTGGCGTTGAAGTCCTAAGAGTGGTGTTTTGGCGCGCTTCAGGATTTTCACATGCTTGTCCCCCAACGGGGCAATTCCATCGGTGGGAATGAACCCGTGTAGGAGCCTATGAAGAGGGAGCTTGGAGGGAGGTTGTATTCCAGCATCGTTGATGAGTCTAGGGTTTGCATTGGTCCTCCTCCTCCTCCTCCTCCACGTCCTGCCTCCCTCCGCCGCCCTCCCTCCCTCCGCCGCCCTCCCTCCCTCCCTCCCTTCCTCCCTCCCCTATCCTCCTCATCCTCTTTCTCCTCAAGGGAGGGTGGGCAGAGGGGCTGGATAAGTTAGAGTACCGCACGCGAACCTCAACCCCACGTCTCAGTTTGTGCTGGTCTGGGGACATGGCGCAGGGTCTCAGGATTTGAAGTGGGTCTGCAGCCAGGTAACATCCTGCGGGGGGGTGGGTGGCGCATACCCTGGTGTCGCCTGGCCAAAGCCACGCTAACGGCGATGTTGGGAATATGTTTTTTGCGACGCCCAACTCGCGCAGAACATATTGTGGGAAATCACGGACCACGCTTTCCTACATGCCCAAAGCGCGAATGCATCGAGCCAAGGTGGCACGGCAAAGTGCAGGAAAACGCGAACAGCGCTTTCCTGTCACTGGGCTGGCCCACGAGCCGTCCCCCACGTACAACACCGAAACCCGCATCGCCGTGGCCTGCCTCGCCGGTCGCGCGTCTGCGGCCTGGGCAGAGGCGGTGGGGTCCACAAGCGGCCGCACACCGGCGAGAGGAGGGCGCCAGCCACACGCCAGCACCGCGTCTGGCCGGGCCCGCCCTAAGGGCCGGGAGCGGTGCGCTGAGGGACGCCGTCCTGGCCTGGCCGGGAAGGCACGCGGGATATCAAGACCGGCCACGAGGGCGAGGGCAGGGATGCAAGGCATGCAGAATCCAAGGCAATTGCCCAACGGATGCGAGGGAGGAGGAGGAGGCGGAGGAGGAGGAGGAGGAGGAGGAGGAGGAGGAGGAGGGAAGAGGAGGAGGGATGAGGCTGCCAGGGACGAGAACCTCAAGGGAGACCCCCACCCCCACCCAACCGACGAAGACTGCATCGACAGCGGAGCTTCTCTGGCGCATCCCGACGACCAATGTTTTGCCTGTGCGCCGATCCCAGGCCCAGAGGTTGACCTGGCCAGGTCCTGCGTCCGTGCGCGGCCTGCGTCCGCCCAGTGGTGGCCGAAAGGGGAGGGCATCCTGCTCCTGCGATTTCCATGCACGCCATCGGCGAAGGGCGCTCCTGCTTCGGGGGCGTCCAAGAGGAGGGGACGCCTGGAGGGGGAGGCGCAAATCATGGCCGGCGGCATGTGCACGGCCCGGGGTGGGGCGGGGACGTATTGAAACAAGAAGAGGCGCCATAAAATGTGGGGAGATATCATGGCCCCCGCCATGATATCCACACACCCCTAACATCACCCCCCTC